CATTGTTAGCACTGCCTCTTATAAAGCCCAGTATCCAATTAATCCCTTCTGATTGATTTATATAGACTGTACAGCATGCAAACAGGTCATTCGGCCAAACCAATTTGTGCTGCTGTTTATATTCCACATAAGTCTCCACCCATTCCTTACTCTTCTGATTGATAGGTTTAAAAACATTTACTCCATACTTTGCAGAATTCTCATTCATTTTCGGTAGCGCTAAATTGTTAGGCACATGCATTGTTTTGGGGTTAGAGTGAAATATTTTCTTCTCTTCCAGGCGTTGTTCCTATGCCAGGGTTACTGATCTGAGGCATTTTCTAATCCACATCAAACCAGCCACTGAAGAGTAGATAAGTGTAGTCTGGAACTCCCCTTCCCTTGGAAATTAAGCCTGGATATTGCTGAATGCCTTTCAAAGATAGAGTACCCGTGTGAGTGAAGCTAACTCAGAACAAATGGCATTTAGGCTTGCAACCTTTTGGTCTTCATGACCAAATGTCTACCAAATAATGCCTTTCCAGGATCGTTCACAATTCATCTTCATTAAGATTTTAAGTTATTTTAAAGTGCATACATGAATCTATAAAATGTATCGGTGTTAGAGCTAGAATAATTGTTAAACATAATGTAAATTATTCAGAGGGATCTTATTTTGAATGGCTCAAGGATATGAAGGCCTTTTTTTTAAAAGTATTTCTATTTTCTTCCCATTCTCTTTCTAGTATTATATTATGTTGCCTGCATCCAAGAGGGTGAATGGACAAGCTGCTTCTACAGGAAGCTCTCAATTATGACCAAGTGCACACAGCGTTGTATAACTAGTTAATGTCAGTCATAAAACCAGAGATGCCTTTTAAATAGAAAACACCTTAATAAGATAAATAAGGGATCTGAGACACCAGGCATTTTCAAATTAATTTTTAAAAAACTATGTTTACACTGCATTAAAAAATTACATCCAATAGACAGAATGGTTTTCTTGAGATTGAGATTATACTGAATGTAGATTTATTAGAATCAAGTCTGGATGTAAACTCATCACTCAACCTCATAAAGCCAACTCTGTGCATATAAATAAATATGTCTTTGGTGCTCCAGTTCACTTAGCTTCACATGTAACATAAACCTTTTAACATAATAGTTTTCCAAATTTTAATCGTACCTTAGTTTGCAGACATATCAAGTATACTGTTCAGCATGCAACAGAGCACTTAGTGTTAGTACAATTGCCTATTGTAAATGCTGTGGAATTTCTCAAAGTAAACACTTGTCTTCTTTTAAATAGATAAGTAAATGCAGCCAATTTACCAAAAAGAAAGCAAAACGGGTTTTCTTTTAGACTGTATTTAAATAAACTACATCAAATCCTGTTGTGGATCTAATTTCAATGTTTTTGTATTACTTTACTACGTCAGATCATCTTATACCCTGGCTATAGAATTCCAGTCATGTAACCATCTTATTGTTATATTCATAGCCTATTTCATTTACTGGGAAATACTTTTTTTTAAAAAAACACATTCATTCTATTACACTTCTTTAACTACAAATGTCTCAATCAGGTCATTGTCAGATTATTTGACCCATGTGAAATCATCCACCATAAAAGGATGGCAAGAAACGTTTTTTAAAAAGTAGCTATTCAGCCTACATTACACACTGTTAATTCAGGGGTATGAGAGAGAATGGAGCATTATTCGTTTTACATTGGGTCTGATAATCTTGTGCTTTTTTCCTGGTCCTGAACATTTCTGTGTACTGTCCAATTAAATACATATATATTGCTCAAAAAAGTAATTCTGTCTCAGCCTCCCACCCATACTTCCATTACCAAATTATATCTGGTAACACTGGCGATTCTAAATTATTTAATTCAATCAACTCGGAGACAGGTATTGTAGACTTGAAATCAATGCCAACCATACTGAATTACATTTCTGTGCAAAACAACACCCAGCTACTCCACATATCAATTGGCTGCTGCGTTCGCCCACAAATATAGTCAATTCACTTTACAGTGTGTTCTGTGAAGCGCTTTGGGACGTCCACCCGACGTGAAAAGCGCTATATCAAATGCAAGGATTATTATTATTATTATTTGTGGGCGAACGTGGCAGCCAATTGCACACAGCAATGTCCCACAGACAGTCGTGGATTGAAAATGACCAATTTATTATTGTTTTTGGTTTTGGAGGGATTATTATTAGGCTCTGTGTGGAGTAAGGAAACTTGCCCAAGGTTTCGCCCTCTGCCTGGAATTGAACTCAGGTCTCTCACTTGCAAAGCGAGTGCTCTAACCACTGAGCTACAGGACTCCACGATACTTCCCACGATACTGCCTTATCACATTGTTGAGATGTCTCAAAGTGCTTTACAGAATACACTGTAAAGTGAATTGACTGTATATTTTGTGGATGAAACGCGGCAGCGAATTGCGCGCACAGTGTCCCACAAACAGTCGTGGATTGAGTGACCAATTTTTGTAAGAGATTATTATCTCCGGTGATCCAAAAATCGACTAACAACCAGGTTCCTACTTATTGCTAAGTAAGCAGAGGCGTGTGGAGGAAGGAAACCTGTCTCAGGTTCTGCCCTGCCTGGGAATGGAACCTAGGTCTTCTCGCTTGCGAGGCAGTGCTCTGATCAATACGCTACAGGACTCCACTCCCAAACAAAGTTATATTATTTTACTTGCAAATCTGCATCAAGTTAAGGCTGTATTTGGAGTCCTGTAGCTCAGTGGTTAGAGCACTCGCTTTGCAGGCGAGAGACCTGAGTTCAATTCCAGGCAGAGGGCGAAACCTTGGGCAAGTTTTCTTTTTTTTCAATTAAAAATATGATATTTTAAAGATATTTTATTTCTTTCACAGTAATACTCTTATGTTTTAAGATTTTATACAGAAAAACCTACTTAGTTTCAAGTGTTTGGGCGATTTCTTGACCAGATGTTTCAAGGACACAGACACAACATGCACATACATGGAAATAGATTACTAGACAGTCACAATCCCCATTATTTGCATCATCCAGATTAAAATGTTCTATAAAAAGGTGGTCTTACTCTTGAAGATTTACACAGCAAATCACACAGCATGGAGTCCTGTAGCTCAGTGGTTAGAGCACTCTCCTCGCAAGCGAGAGACCAGAATTTGATTCCTGGCTGGGCGAAATGTTGGGACAAGTTTCCTTACTCCACACGCCTGTTTACCTAGCAGTAAGTAGGAACCTGGTTGTTAGTCGATTGGCGGATTGCTTTTCCGGGGGTAATAGCTTCAAATAAAATAAAAATTGCTCATTCAATCCACGACTGTTTGTGGAACACTACTGTGCACAATTGGCTGCTGCATTTCACCCACAAAATCTAGTCAATTCACTTTACAGTATATTCCGTGAAGAGCTTCGAGACTTGTTAAGACATAAGGCGCTATATCAAATGCAAGTATTATTATTATAAATTGCCTCCCCAACCTTCTCCCAATAGCTAAACTCTAGTGTCCACAAAAACTAATTTGTAGTTGAAGCAAAACCTCATTAGGGATGGGGTCATTTGAAATATTTCCCTTTAAGAAAAACACCTTCAATTTATTTTAATCATTGCCAGCTTGGCGCTCATATTTCTATTCTAATTGAAATATTTATTGCAACATTAATAATCAACTGTAATAGTTGTACAAAGGAAGGTGGTATTAAATTTTAATGCCAATCTCTCGACTCCCCCTGTGATGAATAATGAGCAGACGTGAAAACAACTGCTGTGGAAGCAGATCCCAGCTTCATCCAACTGTAGGTAATACTCACTAATTTCCATACAAGTGAAAAAAAACATCTGACAGCATTAGAATCTGGTTGGAGACCAGAGGAAAATCAAACTATTTATTCCACAAAAGAAAGCCATTCGGCTCATCATATCTGTCACTAAAATATTGTGTGCGAGCCCTAGAATAGACTGTTACAGGAGATTGCTAACCAGTCAACAGCGACACTTAACAGGCAACAAAACTCTGCTGAAGCCATGCATCAAACCAAGCACTATGGAGAGGAAAGACAATCCTTAAATAATTGCTTTAATTTAATTTTAATCTGTGATTTCAAAAAAGCATGGAAGGCAGCGAAAAGTGTATTCTTGGCCAGAGCGTTTAACTTGGCGAACACATTTCTTTCACAGTATGCTATGTGATACTGACCTTTGTTGTTGAACCACAATTAGTGGTTCATCCAGTGTAGACCATAAATTAAGCAAATGGGTTAATACCTATTTGCCTAATTTGTTCTACATCTAAATAAAAAAATAATTTGGTCACTCAATCGACGACCATTTGTGGAACACTGCTGTGCGCAATTGGCTCCTGCACTTTGCCCACAAAATATAGTCAATTCACTTTACAGTATATTCTGTGAAGCGCTTTGAGCCGACTCAAAGATACTATAAGGCGCTATATCAAATGCAAGGTTTATTATTATTATTATCTAAAATCCTAGATTGCTGAGTTGGTAGAGCTGTGGAGGTGGCACAAAAAGTCTCTAGTTTTCTGGGGTCTTCCTAGCAGTTGAACCAGTTCTGATTAGATATTTCTGACAACGGGGAGTAGGACAAACTAGAAGAAAAAATCTGTGTGAAAGTTATGAGTGTTTTAAAATGTTAACATTGGATTGAATTAAATGTTCAAGGCTTCCTAAAATTGGAGCAACAATAACTATATGGTATAACATAGCAACCCTCCCTCCCACCCCGAAATGAATTAGATGTTGGATCATCTCAAATGAGTTCCATTTCTTCTCTCCTTGAATCACGTTATTTCCGTGCTGAAATGTACATTGTATGAATTTACCCAAATTGAATTAAAAAAACTCAGAGACTCAATGTTGCTGCGAAAAGTATCTTCAGAATGTTGCTTAAAGTAAACTGAAACGGTGCAAAAGGTTGGCTTTAAAACAATCTACTATTTTGATCAGATGTTTACTCCTTCCTTTGCAAGAAAGTCAGAAATGTCAGATAATAAGACAGTCACAGGTAGATGTGTTTTATTTATTAAATGCTCAAAATCGTTAGAAAATTAGTATAAATTATTTCCTAATGAATATAGACAAACATCCATTCACTTAAAACACTTCTTCAATGTATTACCAGAATTCAGATCGAACAGCGAATGGTCTAGTAACTGACCAATAATCTTTAAAAGGAACATTCTATACTGCTGTCTTTTTAATATTAAACTCCAGCATTCAAGCAAGACCTTTTCCTAATAACATGGCTTTTTCCTTGGGCTATAGTATTTTACCTAGGTTCAGTTTTACATTTCTGCTGCTATGTTTGTCATGTGCAGTAAGGCACAGATTCTGAATGCTGCTCCAATCCGTCTGCTTCTGCTGTCTGGTGCAGGTGCTGAAGATGTTGAAAAGCCCTAATACTCATGTTCAAGGCAGGGTGTACTTTGCAAACACCAGACTCCCCAATCAAGGAAAGGCCGCAAACTCCGAAGTATGCATGTAGAGCATCTGAAACAGACAGATCACATTCAGAATTAGCAGCAGGTTTTGAGGGAAGGGATTATACATTTTTATGAAAAAAAAGGCTTAAAACTGAATACTAGTCTTGTTCAATCTGACAAATACTCTGAAGTAGCCCAATGCGGTTATCATGGAAAGAAAATATTTTTATCCCCCTCTTCTAAAGTTGCCAACCCCAGCTATTTGATCGCGTATTGCAGTAGAGACAGATTGTCTTCACTTGAGATTCACAAATGAGAGCCACTAGATAACAGACAGAAACAGGAACCCTGGTGTAGTTTTATCTCCCTCAGGCAATGGCATGCTGAGGGTTACCTGTAACATCCTTATTGCAACCTAGCTAAGATCAGTTATCTTCAGTGATTTCAAATCAAACCTAAAATCCTTTAATCAGCATGGCTCAGGAACACAAGGCAAAATACTAGTTACTGAAAATCTGAAATATAAATGAAAACAATGACCTTTCATCAGAACTGAAAGGTCATTGACCTGAAACTTTAACTCACTTTTCTCTCTCTATAGATGCTGCCTGACCACTGAGTGCTTCCAGTAATATCTGTTTTAATTTTGGCTCAGGAACATGTTGGGTTATGCATTTACTGTGGAGGAGTCAGGTTTGCCAACAATGGCAAAATATCAGGGGGTAATCAAAAGGCACAAAACAATAAATAAGGATTGAATAAAAGTTCATGCGCCAATATTCTAAAAATAATACCAATCCGACTTGACATGTGTCAAGAGAGGAGCACAAATTAACCAGCCCTCAGTATCACTATTGGAGTATCACTAATTCAATATTGCTGACACAAAAATATAACTCACTTCAGCAGACTTTACTTTCCGAGAATAGATATTGAAAAGTTTTAGAACCCGAGTCAATATTCTTTGAAGTACATCATGGTTTGATGATGATGTGAACTTTGAGTGAAATTAAATTTTTTGTCTGAACCCACATAGTTGTTGCCTTTGCAGCACACCACAATGCAAATGTTAATGTTTGTCATTTACTCACTCTGTTATTAAGGCATTTTTTTCCTTTACAGGAAAATGGAGCTTTACCACAAAATTACTTTTCTAAGTCATGCAACACGCAAGCCTTGGCTTACTGCATTATTTATTACCCGGTTCTGAAGCTTCACATCTCCGGTTTACAAATAAGAGATCTGTGACAGAGTCAACAGGATAAATCTAACCATTTACTTGCATGTTCAAAATTGAGCAACATCTGAAATTGGTCAAAAGCTAGTCTGAGACAAGAGTGCCAGGTCTTGTCTACACCTAAAGGAGCCAATACGGAACCTCAGTATCCTGTTTGACCCTCAACTGTCCTTCGTCCCCCACATCCATACTATGACCCGCTCCGCCTTTCCCCCCTTCTGCAACATTGCCCGGTTCCACCAATGTCTCAAACCGCAGGCTGCTGAGACCTTCATCACGCATTCATCACATCCAGGCTCGACTACACAAAAATTCCCTGCTTGTCAGCCTCCCCAACTCCTCCCTCCACATGCTGCAGATCATCCAGAACTCTGCAGCCTGTGTCCTCTCCCACACCAGGCTCCATAACCCTATCACCCCCAGCCTCCCCCAACTCCACTGGCTCTCCATCACTTGGAGAATAGTTCAAGATCTTGGTCCTCTCATGGCCTCACTCTTCCTTACCTCTGTGACCTCCTAACCCCTACCAACCTGTCCGTTCCTTCTGCTAATTTGTTGTTGTTGCAATCTCAGCTCCACAACTCATACATCAATTTATTGCATGCATCAGAATTTGCTACAGGATGAAAAACAGTTGCTGGGATGAAATAGGGATCAGTGAAAATATACTTACTGAGTGAGCCATAAGTTCTTTATTATGATGTGAATTTGTATAATGGCCCTATTACAAGTCTTTTTTTCAATACATAATCAATTATTGAAATTCTTTTGGTATAAATGGCAGTCCTTTGTTACCTGGATGACTATCCGGCCATTTTGCAAATCCTCCCACTAAACGGTCTTGAGTTGACAAAATGTAGTTTCGATTTTTCTCAAAATTCGTATACTGAAAAATCTGTAGAAGCTGCAACACACAAAAAAGATAATAATATAATAACAATCCTTGCATTTGATATAGAGCCTTCTCACATCTTCAAGATGTCTCAAAGTGCTTCACAGAATAAACAGTAAAGTGAATTGACTGTATATTTTGTAGGCAAAATATTTATTATTATTTGTTTTGAAGGAATTATTACCTCCAGAGAAGCGACCCAACAATTGACTAACAACCGGGTTCCTACTTACTGCTAGGTAAACAGAGGCGTGTGGAGTAAGAAAACTTGCCCAACGTTCGCCCTGTCGGGAATCAAACCCAGGTCTCTCGCTTGCGCTCTAACCACTGAGCTACAGGACTCCACATATGTTCTTTTTCCATGGCCTAACTTGATCTACTTGATCTCACTTATCTGGACTAGAAAAGTGCAAGTAAATCTATCTGTTGTGGCTATATCAAGTATTGATTTGATTTCTTTCACTTTTGTCTTTTACAGTGTGTTCAGTGAAGCGCTTTGGGACGTCCTCCCGACGTGAAAAGCGCTATATCAAATGCAAGGATTATTATTATTATTATTATCAAATGCAAGGATTATTATTATTATTATTTATTCTTCCATTTTCTACTTTTATTTATTCTTTTGTCTAGGTGTCATTCTGACTCACTTGGGTCAGGAAGTTGTGGGTTGAAGCTCCACATTGAAACTCCAACCTCACAGTCTTGGCTGACACTCCAGTGCATTACTGAGTGAGGGAGTGCTACAATGTCAGGGATATTGCCTGTTCTTGAGGTAAAAGATCCTATGGCAGTATTTAAAAATATAAGAGTTTCTCCCAGTGTCCTGAGCAACAATTCTGTTGAGTCCTGTAGAGGGTGGAGTCCTGAATTGTGGAGTCCTGTAGCTCAGTGGTTAGAGCACTCGCTTTGTAAGCGAGAGACCTGAGTTCAATTCCAGGCAGGGCGAAACCTTGGCCAAGTTTCCTTACTCCACACGCCTAATAATAATCCCTCCAAAACTAAAAACAATAATTAAATTGGTCATTTTCAATCTACGACTGTTTGTGGACATTGCTGTGCGCAATTGGCTGCCGCGTTCGCCCACAAATATACAGTCAATTCACTTTACAGTGTGTTCTGTGAAGCGCTTTGGGACGTCCTCCTGACGTGAAAAGCGCTATATCAAATGCAAGGATTATTATTATTATTATTATTATTATTATTCTCCAAATACAATTAGTCATTCACCTCAAGCCATTTGTGGGATCTTACTTTGTGCAAAATACCTGCTGAATTTGCTTACAAAAATGGTCACTGTGCTTAACAGTAATTACCTATAAAGTGTCTTTTGATGTTTTGACCCGATAAGACACTATTAAAATGCAATTTCTTTCTTGGACATAGAAACCTAAAACTTTAATATAAACGACTAAATGGTGCTTTCTTTCCATGAAAGAAATATGAGATGGTAAATGATACTTCAGCACTAACATTTTCCAAGACGAGTGAAACCTGGAAAAAGGTTTTGACACAAATGATGGATTGGATCTAAGAACTTCCTTTTCCACAAGCCAAGCTGAATATGATGCTAGTCATTCAGTATCTTGTAGAATTCGTTAAATGACAAAAAGGAGGGCAACAAAGTAACATCTATAAGAAACTTAAAATCACACAAAACCTTGCACTCAAACAGACCTCACACCTGTTTGTTTCAGAATCAAAATCAAATTCCAAGAGGACATTAATATAATAGAATAATAATCCTTGCATTTGATATAGCACTTTATCATGTCATCAACATGTCTTAAAGTACCTCACAGGATATAATGTCAAATGGTATGACTATTTTGTGGGTGACTGTGGCAGCCAATTTCGTACAATGTTCCACAAACAGCCATGCTGTAAGTAACCAATTTTATTTGGACAATTTTAATATTGTAATAAATAAACATCTTGACTTTCAGGAACTATCCATGGATTGAGACTTCACAGGACATTCTCCAAGCAGAAGCCAAAATACCTGCCACATAGGCTGGAAGTAAATGATCACGTTTGCATTTACAACAATGTAGCCGGAATATCTCATTGGGTTATAATAATCATTGTTGATTTTGAGATAGCACCTTATTGCATTGAAATGTCTCAAAGCGCTTCAGTCTTTCTGTAAAGTGTAGTGACTTTGTATTTGTAGGCATATGCGTCAGCCAATTTGTGCCCAGCAACGTTCCACAAACAGCCATGAAGTGAACAACCAATTTTTTTTATCTGGGAGATTGTTGGCCAGGCACCAGGAGAAATTCTCTTTTTTTTGAAGATTTATAACATCCACCTGAACAGGCAGACATGATATCAAGGACCTTAGTTTAACATCAGAGGGTATCTTTCACAATGAAATGCCCCCTAGCACTGCAATGCAGTTTCAGCCTCGACTATGAGCTCAAAGTCTTGATGTGGGACTTGATCCCACAACCTACTACGCAGAGGGAGAATGTTAAAAACTTAGCCAGGCATACATACACACTTCCTTGTGAACTTCCTAATTTCTACACATTCCATTTGGCGCTCTGATGGCTTTGCTTAGTGTCCGGAATGTTTCTATCATGGACAAATGTGTAAGATACGTTAGAACCCACAGGTAACGTATTGCTTTAGACTCTAAATAACATCAGCTTTACTACCTTTTCGCTCAGGTGCTCATAGCATTTAAGATTAGCATTAAACCACCATTGCATTCTTAAGCTACGCCAAAGTACCAGAATTCAGGGCAAAAGAAACAATAATCCAATGAAAGTACCACGAGTATTGGGCTCGTGCAGTGATCATTGGTAGTTGCTATAGTTTGGCTATTCCAAATATTCCCTTCCCTCACCAAACTGAAATTAAGTTTAATTTTGTTTTTGTTGGTATAGTATTTACAAACCACATTTTAACTCACTGAGCTTTTGGATCAAAACATTATTGGATCATAATGTTATCAGACTCGGATCAAATCATGATCTTTCCCATCATATATCCACATCATATTTATAGCAAATGATTTACATCATATGAAATTACAACTGAAGGAAACAAGGATATTTATTTTCTCAATAATTGTTAATCACTGAAAAATGTGCGTTAATATCAAAGTCACAGAAGAAAAAGATTTTAAGCACTAGATTTTAACTGAAGAAAACTGCCTTGCTCCCTCTCAAGGACTGGGTTTAGAAAGGAAACTCCAGTCTCATTTAAATGTTAAACTGTTATCTTTACTAATAAAGACAAAGTGTCTGTCCGTGTGTCAGTGTATCTGATAATCACGCAATAACCGATTGATGTAGAGACATGATTTATACTTCATAGGAAAGTATAAATCTGGCAGCGTCCTGGGAATATTTGTTTTTTGGGGGGTGGGGGTATCTCCTATCGTTGATGAGCTATTAAGTCTCAAAGTGTGAGCTATGCATCATATTCTGGAACTAGGTAGCGACAGAGGAAAGCGCACACTGATCAGATAAATACATCTATATTCTGCTGCAAATGTATGGCACTTTTTTCTGGTTGTCATGGGAACTAAAATCCTCCCATCTGGGACAGACAGAGAGAAAGACTGAGAGAGACTGAGATAGTGAGAGAGACTGAGAGAGAGACTGAGAGAGAGACACAGAGACTGAGAGAGAGACAGAGACACTGTGAGAGGAAATATATTGAAGGAGTCCTCCCACTGAGTCCTCCCAGCTGAGTATAGATAAAGACAAAATGTCTGGCCGTGTGTCAATCTGCATTCCATATTGGATCCTTTGGTTGCAAGCGAAGCTGCAATGGGTACAGCTCGTAATATATAAATACTTTAACTTCAAACTTAATTTAGGCTGACACTCCAATGTGGGTGTGCTGCAATGTCAGAGGTGACGTCTTTTAGGTGAGACGTTAAAACTGAGGTGCTGTCTTCCTATTCAGGTGATACTATTCAAAAAGAAAAGGTAGTTGTTCCTGGTGTCCTGGCCAACAATCCCCAATATTTCATGACTGCTTTATGGGACAGTACTGTGTATGTATTGATTACTGCAATTACCCATTTTATTTTTTGTTCTATTTTTTCTACCACAAAATGGGGGAGGGGGAAGAGAAACACTCACTCCATTTAGTGGAGACAAAAATAGAACTGAACAAAATATGTTCCTCCACATTCATATCTCAACTACCTTTTAAATGAATAAAATATCAAATCATTAATAGGCCATTGAGAGCATTTCTGTGAGAAATGCATCCATTTCTAGTCTGTCAATAGTAACACACGGAGTCCTGTAGCTCAGTGGTTAGAGCACTCGCCTTGCAAGCGAGAGACCTGGGTTCGATTCCCGGCAGGGCGAAACCTTGGGCAAGTTTCCTTACTCCACACGCCTGATAATAATCCCTCAAGAAAAAATAATAAATTGGTCATTCAATCTACGACTGTTTGTGGGACACTGCTGTACGCAATTGGCTGCCGCATTTCACCCACAAATATACAGTCAATTCACTTTATAGTGTGTTCTGTGAAGCGCTTTAGGACGTCCTCCCGACGTGAAAAGCGCTATATCAAATGCAAGGATTATTATTATTCTGTGAAACTCTTTGAGATGTCGAGAAGACGTGAAAAGCGCTATATCAAATGCAAGAATTATTATAATGTGTGTTGATGTAAACAGGAAAAATCAATCACAATAATCTGCAAAGCAGGATGGTTGTTAAAAAAAAAGTTTAGTATATGAAAAACATACACATGGCAATTTATGTCTGAATTTTGTAAAATTACCTTTAGGGTTGCACCGACCCAGAATGAATAACAGGTGTCTACAGGTTTATTGGGTCTACCATGGAAACCGTTCTGTTGCCTCATTATGCACCACCGTCTTATTCTATTTAGCTCCTTTTCGGAGAAGACCTCTTGCAACTTCCCCATCAGACAGATAGAGGCAATGGCACAGAATGTGGATCCACCTGTCAACAACAACAACAAATTACATTTGGATAGCGCTTTTCACATCAGGAGCACGTCCCAAGGCACAATTAAAAAACTATTTGTAACTAGGATAAGCAATTTCTCAACATAACTAAATCTTCCAATATGTGGCAAAATCCTAAGAAAGGCTGATGATTTGTGAGAGTAACAAACTGCAAATCCTTCAGGAACCTGAAACTGTTGAGATGTCTTTTTGGCCACAAACTGACTTCATGAAGTCAGAAATAAGAAAGGAGCAGTTCCAGTGGCTAGCCTGAGACCCATCTAGGCACCTGCTGCATTCACTTTTGCAAAACCTGAAAATCAAATCCCAAAGTCTGATTGAGGAAAAGGAGAACTACAATGGGAAATTATTTACATACGATTATGAATTGATTAGAATAGCTCTGCAAGGTCTTACCCGTGTACACATGACAGAAAAGTATTGATGCCAAACTAGATAAATGCAAAGGGAAAATAATGCTTTGAATGGCATTATTTCATTTATTAATTTGAAGTGCTGGCTTTCACATATCACATAAGGTTCACAAAAAATAATAATTTGGTTACTCAATTGGCTGCCTCGTTTCGCCCATAAATACATTCAAATAACTTTACAGTATATTCTGTGAAGCGCTTTGAGATGTCTAGAAGACGTGAAAAGCGCTTTATCAAATGCAAGGATTATTACTATATTATTTAAGTATTACAAAAATTTAGTCCACCTGTATTCCAATGGATTCTGTTACCCATTGGATTCTGTTACCCACTTTATTTCAATGGGGCCTTATGTCCTATTAATAAGGTTCAACAATAGTCTTTTTCATTCTCCTTCTGCTCTCAATGTTTTGGGATACAAATTTGCCCACAAATATACAGTCAATTCACTTTACAGTGTGTGTTTTGTGAAGCGCTTTGGGATGTCCTCCTGACGTGAAAAGCGCTATATCAAATGCAAGGATTATTATTATTATACAGTGTGAAACTTGAAATGCTATTTGTGCATGTGTGTGTGAGTGTGTGTGGCAGGTGGAAAGGTAACTGCAGCTGAAATATACAAACATGCTCTTATCAGCTAAGATCACTGGACAGTGATTACTATTCTCCCCTAATTCAGGTACTTTGAAGCTACTTGTAGTGCTTTTAAACTCAAACTTTTAAAATCCTCAACAGGATCGAATCAAGAGATCTATTCGATCTTTATGGCTGTTTCATACAAAGCATTAGCTTTCATATCTGAGCCATCAAGGAGCCACTTACACTGTGACAATCTGACCATTACAAGCTAGGAGATGTAACTATCTTTATGATGGACTATGAGCTATAGTTAAACCTCACTTCTATGGACATTTCAGTGATCATTGTAAATCACAAACCAGGCCACTTTTCATAGCCTGCTTTTTTTAAAATTTGAAACTGATTGTGGCCAAAATTCCTAATTTACCAAACAAGGCAGTTCACTAAGGGCAAAAAAGGCCCTTTATTTTCAAATAAAATAACGACTGCCCCTTAACAGTGAGTTTCCACTGTGCTGTATCTTTGACTTTTGGTACAAGAGTAAAAAACTAAGATTATGGGGCTTTAAAAAAAAACAGGAGGCAAGACCACCATCAATGGTACTCCATGATTAGGTATCACATGCGTTTCCAGATCAATTGGTCTCATATGCCCAGCCTCGTCTTCATGCTTCCTCCCTCCTTAAAAAAATCAGTGGATTCAGCGGGAGGTTTCCCAGCATGGCGAGGTTCTTAATCTCAGCCATCCCATCTCTGACACTGCAGCAGAAGACAGGCAGCCGATTAACTAACTATCAGTTAAGTCATCAACCCATACAGAGAAGAATCTTTCATCTATTCAGTGCCTACTTAGAACTCTGCAGCTCGTGTACTGTCCCGCACCAGGCTTCGGGACCACATCACTCCCACCCTCGCTCGCCTCCACTGGCTCCCCATCCCCCAGAGGATTGATTTCAAGATCCTCATCCTCACCTACAAGGCCATTCACGGCCTTGCTCCCTCCTACCTCTCCAACCTACTATCCCCCTACCTACCTGCCCGTACCCTCCGTTCCTCTGGCTCCGGTCTGCTCCACATCCCCCGCCCCAACCGCCCTACCATCGGTGGTCGGGCCTTCAGCCTCTCAGCCCCAGGCTCTGGAACTCTATCCCCCAGTGCCTTCGCCGCTTCCTCCCTTTCCTCCTTCAAGGCCGGTCTCAAGACCTTTCTCTTTGACCGTGTCTTCAGCTCCCCTCTCGACTCTCTACCCCCTCCTCGCTCCCTCCCTTCCCTCCCCTCACCCTGACCATTTCCCCCCGCTCGGGTCCTGACCCAACTGTACAGCGCCTTGGGACGTCCTCCCGACATGAAAGGCGCTCTATAAATGGAATCTTGTTGTTGTTGTACTTTTCTGCCAGCCAGAAAACAGAGCATCTGGAGTTAAAAGCTATACTGCCATTTCATGGCACAAGTGCATTGGTAAGATACTACACTGCACCAGGACACTGCTTTTAAACCTACTCCATTTACAGGAAATAAGATTTACATACGTGTATGTGAGAGCAACAATCATTTGCAACATGACAGAGAAACAAATGTGCTGATATAAACCACTTCCAATTAAGAATTTTTGAATTGCAAAAATCATGCTTACCATGTGATTCCAGTCCAGCTCCCTGGGCAAGCCCATTGTCGTAGGACTGAAAAAACAGAAAGGAAAATCTTTAATAAGGCATTTACCATGTAAACAAACATAACTTATGGGCCACCTACTGATAAATCCAGAGGGCAGACAGCACATACAGAGCTGTAACACAAAGGAAAAAGAAGTGAGATAGTCTTCAGAAGAGGGGGATGGAGAAAATTGCAGCCTGGCTCTGTTGGTAGCACTTTCACCTGAGTCAGAAGGTTGTGGCTTCAAACTATGACTATACAAGTTCAGGACTTAGAACTCACATGGTCTAAACTGACATTCCATGCAGTTCTGTGGGTGTGCTGCATTGTCGGAAGTGCTGTGCTTCGGATGAAACATTAAACCGAGGCCCTGTTTACCTGTTCAGGGTGGACCTAAAAGATCCTTTAGCACTATTCGAAAAGAGCAGGAAGTTTTTCCCGGTGTCCTGGCCAACAATCCCCCATATAAATTGTCATTCACTTCATGGTCGTTTGTGGGTCAATGCTGTGCACAAATTGACTGCCTTGCTTGCCTACAAAAAGCAATCACTACACTTTACAATAAAATCCTGTGAAGCGCTTTATCACGTGAAAGGCGCTATATCAACTACAAGGATTACTATTTATTATTAATTGCTAAGCGATGAAAGAAAATGTAACTTTTTAAAAAAAATCCTTTTCTATCTTGCCTATTGAGCTTTCTTGAGTTAATCCCCCTTCTTTCTCCGCCTTAGATAGATTATATAAAACTAGACCCAGTTCAATTACTGGCCTAAGTCGTCATTACAGATCATTTCCATCTACTCAGATTAATGACGCATGGATTTAAGGCAAATCTACTCACAACGAGACGCATTGCATTTATCACCTCTTTTTTCTTTTATATTTGAAGAGTGATTGTGGTGCATTTTAAATTATTTTGAAATGCAATTTGTTAAGATGATGTCTTAAGAAATATGTTTACAAGAGTTGCATTTACAAACTTATTAATCCACTGAGAGTCATCTGCCTTTTTCAATTGTGTTTTTTCTTATCATTTTCAAATCAAAAGCGACAGTAACAACTAGGAGCATTTTATATTACTTTAACATTATGTGTTCATCTCATGAGGTAACTTGGTATGTAAAATGATTTTTCTGCTGCCAAATTTGGGGAAAACCTACTTGGAGTTCAATCTTCCGTTACTTTTGCAGACAGAAGATCTGACTCCAGAATAATGTTGTGGTGCCAGAGCAACCAGACTCGATTATGCTGATGTAAACATTGTAAACCTCTGTGAATGTTCAAAACATTAGGACATTATTTTAGCAATCTCTTCCACCGAAATAATATTCAGCAGAACCAATGAATAGGGAGCAGAGTTGCCCAATATTCAGACTCATCTCTTGACCTCTAATGGAGTTATTAGAGAAGCAGAGAACAGTATTACAAACGAACAATGACTAAACGACTCCAATGTTTTTCTGCAGGGATTTTGCCCTCAGCTTCCATTTTCCACATTTCCTCCATTGCTGTTCTGTTCCGCAGATGCCAGTTGACCTCCACTTTCTCACGTCTTTACGTGTGAGAATTTACAAATTGATATTGAGTGTCAGATAGCTTATTTCAGAGTTTGCAGTCAGATAGTTCTTCTCCTCACTCTGAGGTCCATAGATTCATATCTCCCAGCGGTTGTTGAATAGAGATTAGAGCCGCAACCCTGGCTGGTCTCTGCAGGCTGATCTCAAATCCTAACCAGCTAATTCAGCAATGACCAGGACTCACACTGGTCACCTTCCTGGTCTACATACCTAAGCTAGTCACAGCAAACAAAACACTTTTGAGGAGCTTTTACATGGAGATTTAAAACCTTTACAACAAAATCCATACAGCATATTGCACTATTTTTTGTAAAAAGCGGATGCTTAAAAATGTTCTGTCGACACAATCATGTAGGCGTGCAAAAAATAATGCAGAGCTTTCCCTCTTCTAAAAAAAACCTTTCCAATCACTCTTTATATGAGGCTGTGTCCTGCATTGTAACAGAGGTAGGATGCGATGGAATTGTAGAAACCACTTGCAGGAGCCTCGAAGGTTACTTTCGTAGACAAAATATACAGACAATTCACTTTACAGTATACTCTGTGAATCGCTATGGGACATTTCGAAGATGTGATAAGACGCCATATCAAATGCAAGGATTATTATTGTATAAATGTTATTGGCTCAATAATAATCAGTTAGGCAGAAATCCAGGATGCACATCAAAGACCCCAATGCATACCATGTTTACACCAGAGGCACACCTGACCAAACACGACATGAGCAGAGAAGGCTTCTGCCTATAGTTAGTGTTTTGTCTGCCACATAAAAGAACGTAGACTTAACGCAAATTACGTTATTTATGTGGTGAGATGAAAAAAGGAGCAACATCTTAAAACACCAACATAAATCATTGCTTCTGAGGCTGCAATGGCTGTTTTATGAACTATTATCTGCTATGGCAATGATGAAACCAATAAGAATTTCCTAGTGCAAGCTGCCCTCGACCCTTTGGGGATCTCTCATTGCCTCCAAAGTTGCGAGCATCCAACAAACTAAAACAAACATAGTCAACAACAACAACAACAAGATTCCATTTATAGAGCGCTTTTCACGTCGGGAGGACGTCCCAAGGCGCTGTACAGTTGGGTCAGGACTCGAGCAGAGGGGAAATGGTCAGGGTGAGGGGAGGGAAGGGAGGGAGCGAGGAGGGGGTAGTGAGTCGAGAGGGGAGCTGAAGGCACAGTCAAAGAGAAAGGTCTCGAGACCGGCCTTGAAGGAGGAAAGGGAGGAGGCGGCGAAGGCACTGGGGGATGGAGTTCCAGAGCCTAGGGGCTGAGAGGCCCGGCCACCGATGGTAATGGCCTTGTAGGTGAGGATGAGGACACTCACACACATAGTCAGGTACACAGGTACATCTCCCGGCCTTTGCTAATGTTATTTCAGTGTCAAAAGATTATATCGTGTGTGATGTCACTTATTCAATGACACCGTAAAAATGGATGAAAGAAACAGACTCAGGGGAGAAAGCTGTAGCTGTAGTAATGCACAGTTCATGCTCACCTCCACTTATACAGTGCTGCAATATAAAAGCATCAATAACTGGATTCAATAGCTTATTCTTTGGAGACTACGCGATTGCTAAATAATAATAATAATAATCCTTGCAATTGATATAGCCTTATTACCTCGTTGAGATAGCTCATAGCTTAGAACTATGTGATTCCAGGTCCCAAGTCCCTTCTGACTCAGAGGTGATAGTGCTACCAACTAAGCCAGGCTGACACAACTTGCAATTTAATATTGGATTTTCTTTTGAAACTATCAGAATATTCAATACACTCTTCCATAACTACTCAAGGAGCAGAAACATTTTTGTAATAATTTATGAGTTAAATCAGGGGATGAAAAAAAAACGTAACTTATCATATAAACGACAACAACTTGCACTTACATAGCACCCTCCACACAGGGTAATGTCTCAAGAGCGCTTAACAGTGGCGGAGCCTGACTCCCAGCCTGACTTCAGGCGGGACTTGAAAGAGGGGAGAGAAGGGGGGAAAGCGGAGGGATTGGAGGGGTTCCAGAGTTTTGTGTAGTGCAGTGGCTGAAAGCATGACCTCTGATGGTAGGGCGGAGGGTGCAAGGGATGAGCAGGAAGCCAGTGCCAATCAAGCGGAAACTGGGGAGTGAGGAGGTCAGAAAGGCAGGGATGTGCCAGGGAGTGAATGGATTTGAACACGAGAGTGAGGATCTTGTGTCGATCCATTCGGTGATGGGGAGCCAAAACTGAATGAGCTGGAGTTTTTGTATAGTGGAACTGGAGAGACCTGTGAGGAATGTATTTGAGTAATCCAGGCGGGAGGTGGCAAACACATGTACAAGAGTTTCAACTGCATTTGGGATAAAGTACGGTCGGAGGCGGGCAATGTGGCAGAGGTTGGAAGAAGGCAATCCTATTCAGGGACTGGACGTGGGGGAAGAAGGACAGCTGGGGCTGAACCAGATGCCTAAGTTGCGCGCTGGTTTGGTGAGTCTGAGGGAGAGCCCAGGGAGCTTGAGGAGTTTAGATTTGTGGGAGTGAAGACATTGACGGGAGCCAAGGAGTCCTGGAAAGGAGTAGCTCAAGATCTTTAACAGTTTTTACACTAACTTAAAAGCAAAACTGTTTTGATCCACTTCACCCACAAAGCATAACAGGTATTAAGACAGCAGTTTCAATTGCTCCACAATTATGTTTCGCAAGGCAGCATTGTGTTTGCTGCTTATAAACAAGAGTTTCCATTTAGTAAAACCAAAAATCATACTAATTCAAAACCTTTAAATAGTGTTCTCTCCCCTTCACAACACTGGTCATTACTTAGAAAATATAAAGAACAATATCATGTGTTGGGATTGGAACAAAAGATGTTTACAAACCTATGCTCTGTATTTTCATTTGTATAGAGCAAATCAGCTTGCAAATGATACCGATAGGCAAAGTGGTAGAGAATACAAAAACAGAATGAGACTTTGTAATGAAACAAATCAGAAACAAAGCGGAAGCTGTCACTGGTTGCAGCATATACACCTCAAATACACAAGATCCAATATATGGCTAGGTAGGATTAAACAGTGGAGCTCATCATATCTAACAAAGCTGAGATAAATCTCCATGCCATGTTAGAGGCTGTGGGAACAGCCAGGATTAAAACCTGGAGCTTCACGTTAACTATTTTTAAGCTGTTCTATTGCTGGCAATGAATCTTAGTATCAAGCAAGAGCTTATCATGCTCAGTGTGTGCAGCAGCATCTGAATTTTAAATGGCAGGCTTGAATGTAGCAAGTCATAGTAAATATATTTTTCCCTTCTCTTGTTATTTTGGGAGTTCTCTAAAATATTACGTCGTATTTTTTAAACTTTATTAAAACGTCTTTGATTCTGCTTAAGATTTTTTTTTACAAATTTTTAGCCTGCCAGCTGGTGTACTCATGTTTCTGCATTTGCAGCTTGTACCTTAGAACA